AATTGCAGAGAAAGCAAACAGTTATATAACATCAAAGATACTGAGCGCAACCTTAATCACAGCCAGGAACAGTGCACAGTAATGAGAAGCTCCACACCAAATGCTTCTACCAACTTCGATATAGTGGGGCTTTGTAATAAGTAAAAGTGTGTGTGTGTGTGTGTGTGTGTGTGTGTGTGTGTGTGTGTGTATGTGTGTGTGTGTGTGTGTGTGTTTAGAAGACAATAAAAAAATTAACTCCTAATCTCCCACAACAGAATATCAATAATGACTAAAATTGTGGAGGTGTTTGAGAAAATGTAATAAAAGTTCAGTTTCCCAAACTAAGGAAAGGAGAGGTAATCAAAAATTAAAGTTTTCAGGGCTCAAATGCCTTGCCTTGACTTCTCCAGAACAAACTATTTAGATAATTATTCCAAGTAATTATATATCCATATAGCTAGACACACACCTTGTAGGGAGTTAAATAACATCTATCCAGTTTGATATTTTGTTATCTATGATGTGATCGTCCATTACCAAAGGTTGGTGAATATTGGCTAAGAGGTAAGGGAGTATACGGCGAGCAGACTCAAAGAGGATTGGACCTCGGTGTCCCCCACTCCACAGAACCTGTTTCTCACCCTTGTCCGTGACTCTTTTGATCATTTCCATAGCTGGGTTTCTCATCTGTTAAACACTTGAACTGTTAAGTATTTCTAGCACTAACATTATGATCAAAATTTGACATCTGAGGCAAGCTTTCCAGAAGCTGGGATCTGGGTTCCACTCCGAAAATCCACAATGGGAGTTTCAGAGGCAAAGCAAATAACTAGCATGTAATTACTCTGCTGAGACTTCCTTCGGCATATATTTAGGAATTTTGCTGTGCAGAGTGACTCAGAAGGCTGGTGCTGGTGCGAATGTTAGGGACAAAGCTGGAAAATCTGGACAGGGTCTGCCAATGAAGTCGGAAACGAGCAGAAATCTCAGTCACCCAGTACTGTACATGCTCTCAACAGCCTGTTCCTCCTTCCTTTGCACTTCCCATGTTGCCACTATACTTGGACCCACTGCAGAACCATCACCTTGATTTTGGCTGTCCATTAAATTCATGCTCTGGGTTTTCGACGTAAATCCACAGTCAGACTCCGTATTGTAGCTGTTTTTTTTTGTTTGTTTGTTTACCCGTTCTCTAAGGTGGTTTTCACAAAATGTCTTCCATCAAACTAGCCCCACTGAGTACTAGCAGAGGTCTCAGGAAAGGGTTCTGAGATAGCCAAGTTTGAAAAACACTGAACAGATTCGCTCAAGGGTCTGTCTTTCAGACACTGCACAGTCCAGATGCTCACTAAGTCTGAGAAGACGACACTGGCCTTTCATCTCTGTCCACTCACACAGCCAGGATGCCTTCCCTACAGGGACCAGCCACTTGGACACCTTCCACAACTCATATTTGAGACAATTGCCATAATAAGATCCTGCCTTTCAAAACCATAAACCATAATTGCCTTTATATTTTCCTAATGAGCCATGAAAGCCATGGATATCGTGTCAAAAAAGTCAGGAAATGTGTCTATTATGCACAGTAATAGCTAGACTATGAGTCAAAATAAAAAAATCTTGTGAGGTTCTCATCTGGAATATGAAGCTGTGGTTAGGGGACGGGGAGGCAACTAGTGGCATTTTCCTCCTCGTTCCAAAGCCAGAATTTAGTGTTCTTTGGTCTCCAGGGACCATTGCACCCCACCCTCCTCCGGCAGCAGAAAGGCCACAAAATCAGGTTGTCATTTGTCCATTTTAACTGGTGGTTTTCAGCCTGTCGACTCACAGGAGGCTGGAAATCATTGTATAATTTGAAGATCTAGCCAAAAATAGTTATGGCCATAAATTGAATCATTAGCTGTATATACGGTTAGTTCTCACTGGAATACTGAGGAAAAACACATCAGTCAGAAGCAATGTCAACACATCAGTCCATTGTTTGGCTAGGACCATTCTAGTGCTCAGTGATGCTGAACACAGTAAAATAGGTAGGGATTGTCTCTGAGGCAAGCAGCTGAGACCATTACTCCACGAGCAGTAAGAACGGTAGTTAATGGTAAAAAAAAAAAAAAAAAGAAATGATTTTTCAATATTACTTACCTGGATAATTAAAAGTTTTCAGGAGACTAACATGGCTCTCTTTCACAGCTGTTATCTACAATGCATAAGTGTGTGTGTGTGTGTGTGTGTGTGTGTGTGTGTGTGTGTGTGTGTGTATGCACGTGTGCATCATGTGTGTAGATACACAGGTATGCTGTGTGTGTGCATGTGTGTGCAGGAGGATAATAATGAATGTGTGAGGTTCTTCCATAAATGACATTAAAAGGACTCAGAAAATGGGGTGGATTAAAAGGAAGAGTGTGAGAAGTTTGAGTTTAACACATACCAAAAATAGATGTTCATTTATTGACTAATAGTGTTCCTTAGCATTCAAAACAACATCTCAGGATAAAGTGTTGCTAAAATAATTAAAATTCATTTAAAATGCTGTGAGAAGACAAGCTTTTTAATCTGGAGATGAACAATAAAAAGTTTGCCATATTTCAAACTCCCCAGATGGAATCAATATGAAGCCCGCTGTCAGAATTACTTTACCTTGGTCCAGAATATGTCTAATGACAATAAGGTCATTTTTGATTGATTCAGCCACAGTGAGATTGTGTTGGGACGAATTCGGGGAAGTGTTGAGAATTATATATCATACATTCACCCAACAAAGAAAACAAACACAGGTGGTCTAGATGCTAATGCCGAGTGCTAAGTGGACCCGCAATAATTGCTCCCTTCCTGTGACCTGACGATTCTAATTCCTCCTTCTCCCTCTAGGGTCTAATGACCACATGTTCTCAGGCCCCCCGCTCAGTGTTCCAGAATCTTCCCTCCTGCACCTTCCCCTAAGCATTCAGAGGTACAACCTTGGAGATCAGCTCTGGTGCTCCTCTTGCTCTGCCCCAGCATCTCTCCAATGCCCCAGCGTCTCTCCAATGCCTCAGCATCTCTCCAGCGCCTCAGCATCTCTCCAGCGCCCCAGCATCTCTCCAGTGCCCCAGCATCTCTCCAGCGTCCCAGCATCTCTCCAGTGCCCCAGCATCTCTCCAATGTCCCAGCATCTCTCCAGCGCCCCAGCATCTCTCCAATGTCCCAGCATCTCTCCAGCGCCCCAGCATCTCTCTAGCGCCCCAGCATCTCTCCAGTGTCCCAGCATCTCTCCAGTGCCCCAGCATCTCTCCAGCGCCCCAGCATCTCTCCAATGTCCCAGCATCTCTCCAGCGCCCCAGCATCTCTCCAATGTCCCAGCATCTCTCCAATGCCTCAGCATCTCTCCAGCGCCTCAGCATCTCTCCAGTGTCCCAGCATCTCTCCAGTGTCCCAGCATCTCTCCAGTGCCCCAGCATCTCTCCAGTGTCCCAGCATCTCTCCAGTGCCCCAGCATCTCTCCAATGTCCCAGCATCTCTCCAGCGCCCCAGCATCTCTCTAGCGCCCCAGCATCTCTCTAGCGCCCCAGCATCTCTCCAGCGCCCCAGCATCTCTCCAGTGTCCCAGCATCTCTCCAATGTCCCAGCATCTCTCCAGCGCCCCAGCATCTCTCTAGCGCCCCAGCATCTCTCTAGCGCCCCAGCATCTCTCCAGCGCCCCAGCATCTCTCCAGTGCCCCAGCATCTCTCCAGTGTCCCAGCATCTCTCCAGTGTCCCAGCATCTCTCCAGCACCCCAGCAGAAATGGCTGTGGTTACGAACACTTGTTGATCTTGCAACAACCGTGTATAACTCCAGTCTCAGGGAATCAGACACCCTCTTCAGGCCTCAGGTACCAGGCATGCGCATAGTGCCTAGACATATATGTAAGCCAAACACTCATACACTAAAATCACTAATAATTTTTTATTCATTTTACATACCAACCACAGATCCCCAAAAATTTTTAAAAAGGAAACATGTTTTAGACAAAAGTAAACTTTATAAGGAAAAACCCAATAGTAAGCCTATAGGGATAAATATTCATGATGGGTATTAAAATAATAATGTAAGAAGAGGGCAAAGATTTGAAAATCATATAAAATGCAAGCTGTGAGAACAAATGGTTAAACTCAGGGATTTTACCTGAAACCAAGGCTGTCACTGCTGGTTTTGAGGAAAGTTCTAAAATAACTGTAGTCTGGCTGAAGTATTCCAACAAATGAAGGCAAGCTTTGAGACTGTGTCAGCAAGAAGAGTATAAAGAAAGAACACGTCCATCCCCATTGCACTCTCCCAGGCTGCCTTGCTGCCCCCTCCTCTGAGCTGCCCTCTCGGCTCCAGCTGTGTGTCTAGCAACATCAGGATTCCTCTGGCTTTGCATCTGTCAGGCTGACACACTGAGAAATTTCATCCTAGTTTCCACAATGCTCCAAACCTTGCAAGTGTCCACTGCATCCTGTCCTCAGCAGCTAAGCCTGAGTTCACAGGACACTCACAAGGGCCTGGGGAACTGTCTTCCTCTACCTGCTTCTTTGCTTATTACTTCTGTAAAGATTCCCAAAGTGAATTAAACCACTGTTCTTGACTGCCATGCAGTGCTAGCTCACTGACTATTATGAACACAGAATTGCTGCATACCCTCAAATGACTCAACAATGGTCATGGTTAGTAGACGTAGTATTTTTTCTACTTTGACCGGACTATGCAAGGTAAGGAATTCCTTTATTTCACTGGATTCTATCTGGTTGAGCAGTTAGGAAAAAGTAAACCAAATCAAACAAAATAAAACATTTCATTTATGAAGATAATATTCTTACTTCATCTTCCCCAATGTTTCTTCTCCACTTGAAATAAAATATGAGGGCCTTTGTAGAAGTGTGGTGGGTGACGTTAGCTTTGCAGGGAGATTCTAAAATCTTCATGTCTGCGATAAAGGCATTGGCTTAATGAAAGTTCACATTTGTGGTTATCTGAAGTGGTAATGGCGTCTCAACCATAAATCAGAGAAACCAAACATCTCGTTTAGAAATAATAAAATTTAATGGACAAGAAAACATTATCATAGAGAATACAACAGTATAGGATTGCCCTTTCCATTCAGCAGCATGGAGACTTGTGTTGTTTTGTGTTGTTATTGTTATACATTGAAAACTCTTTAAAACCAAATCAACACGTTGGCATTAAGAAAAATATTGCCACAGCACATACAGACGCAACTTCAGCACTGCAGACATCACACAAAGTAGCAAAACACAGAGTTGGTCCAGAGCCTTCTGGAAACCTCTTCCTGCGGGAACTCACCAACTCACTCAATGCTACAGCTCACACAAAATGAGCATCTTTCAAAAAGAAACCTTGTAAATATATCAATCCAAACCACAAAACCTCTTAAATATTGTATTTACTCAAAGTACAAATGGAATTCTGGAAACCGCATCCACAGTACTACCTAAAACTAGGGTTTCTGGAATCATAAATGTATTTAGCTCTAAGCTGGGGGTTAAATTTCATTGGACCACATCCCACACATACTTTCTCATTATATGTACCTTGGGCATACATGTTCTTAAAGTCAGTAGTTATGCAACTAAGTAAAACTCCTATTCTAGATAAGTATCCATTTTCCCTTAATATTGAGTTTGGAACTGGCCCCCTGTAACTACTTCACACAACAAATATTTCACCACAAACAAGTTAACAAAGTCTTGGTAAAGCCCTTCTCTAAGCATTATGGATATTTTATTGTTAAGTCATCAGTAATGAGTCTCAGAGACTAAGAAGCTTTCTTCCCTCTTTTTGCCTAGTTTCTGTGAGCATTCTATTTCCCCATCTAAAACCTGCTAGACAACTTATTCCCATAAATATATACATTCAATGCCCCCCCACTCTATTTCATCAAAAGGGGTTGATACTCAAGCCACATAGCCTATGCTTTTACTGAAAATAAATTGAAGGACTTGAATCTATCCCCAAACTCACTGAACAGCAGGTAGCCGGAAGTGAGCTGCACTCAGCCACATCCACTTCATCCCCTTGACCTGTCTCTCCAAGCAGGGCATCAGCTTGGCATGGTTTCACCCTTTCCTCTGCCTGGACTTCCATAGGACATAAACCTGAACCACTGCAACCTGGTACCATTCAACAGAACACTTAGGTTCTCAGTGCCTAGGACTAGAGCGGCTGGCAGCCTCTCACTGGGTTTTCACCATCACAGGTTCCCCCAGAGTGTTGCAGGAGTCAATGAAGTCAGCCCTAAGCAAATTTCTGAAACAAGGGGAACAAAATGAAACCTTCATAAACTGATAACAACTAATTTAAATGGAACTTCCTTCAGGAAAAGGGATGGGGCTGATTGAAGAATGTGGTTAGAAATCAAACAAAATTAAAATGCTATAAGGAATTACTCCAGTGAATGTCTCCACATGCAAAAACTGCCCATACCTTCTCCAGGAAGCCTGGGAGAAAAACACACATGGAGGAAAAGGCCTGTGTTAACCACAAATGGCCATGAGGTCTACTTCCATGCAAACTTCTCAGAGCTGTCCATCTTCTCTAGCAACATGCCCAAACAGGAATTCTACAGGAAGTACCCAAGGGGATGAGATTGCAGGACCCTGGGGCAGGGGGTACTGCAGAGTAGAGAAATGGATCTGAGGGCAGGTAGCACATCTCAGGGAAGCATTATCTTTAGAGAGAAAGCACCTGAAGATGATTAGAGGCTCCAGCACTAAGACAATGGGGGACACACCCATGTGCTTCTGACATCTGCCCACCATCATGGGATACCCCTAAATTAAAGGAGGACTCCATTCTTCCAGACCTTTTCACAGAGACCCTGCCACAATATAACACACCTGGCCTGGTACCTGTCTGAAAGCACTCACTGAGCCCACACCTTTGCTCCCGGACATCTCACAACTATCAGAGCTCCATAAAAGCTATACACACACAGCTTTGCTTCTTGGCTAACCCTTATGTAGAAATGAACTTTTCTTTTTTAATTTTCAGATCCAGGAAAACCCATCAAGCCAACATCTGGACAGAAAATGGACCACAGACACATGGCCAAGGGCTTTGTTGAGGCTGTAGACACTAATCATGGAGAATACAAAAAGCAAATCGTACGTACATCATTTGAACGTAGCCATATGTGCCAAATTTCCTGTTTTGCATATTGATTACGAAGGAAGTGCCATACAGTCCAGAAATTCATGACAAACACATTGGCAAAAACCATACACCATAAGGATGACAAGGCTAGAGGGGACGAGGCTAACAAAGACCACCCCAAGGGTGACTTTCTTAGACACCAGTAAATAGATCCCTAAGGGCAAGGAACTGAAGTAAAGCAAGCCTAGCAGCCACACTAACACCCGGATGGAAGTCTGAAAGAGTAGTGAGGTGCAGTTCCACACCGTCCAATTGTGGGACACTGTGGTGACAGAGTCGAAACTGGCCGGCCTGTAGAATTCTACCACGGGAGTAGAACTGAGTGATGGGGAACTCTCCCTCTGCACCTCCATGATGGTGATAACCAGGCAGTTGGAGGATGTGTGGGAAGGACTGACAAGAGAAGCCAGCCTCTTAGGTGTGAGCAGTAGCTCCGTGGGATTCTCGGGCAGGCATTTCTTGCCTTTGCTTCCACAAGTCAAGTTTACAAGGATGTTATTGTCATCGGGCAGGCTACTAACTTCGTCATCTGGCAGGCATGTCTCGAACCTGCAGAAAGGACAGACGATGACACCTTGGGGAGAGTCCCCAAAGTCTATGATCTTGTAGAGGCATTTGGCACAAACCCTGTGACAACACTCCAGAACCTTGGGCTTCCTCTGTTTCAGGTTGTACCGATTGTAACAGATCTTGCACTCCAGCTCATCCGAGACCTGAGACTCCACAGCCTCTTCTGGCGGCTGGCTGGCCATCCTGAATTATGGATGCAATCTTTTGTAGATGTGCCTGGCTGCAGAGGGACTGGGATTAAGGAATCCCCCTGAACATCATCACATCATCCGAGTCAGGCGAGGGGGCTGGAAGGGCTGGAAAAGTAGAGAGAGAACTCAGAAGTTTTTCAAACATTTTCAGCTCCTGTTTGGCGCTCCCTGTCTCTGATGCATATTTTAAAAGGCCACCTGAAGATCTGCAAAAAAAGAAAAAACAGAGGTTGTAATAGAGCTAACAGTTCACTGAAAAGGTGTTCTGAGAGCTGCTTCGTGGCATTTTCTGAGCTCCAAGGATCAGGAGCAATAGACCTAACAGATTAAATCCCTTCCAAGTTCACCTTTCCAGCCTGGAACAGGAAGGTTCCGGCTTCAATCCACGAACATCGTAAGAAGGAATTGAGTCCTTAAGCGTGTGAAGTGCACAGACATAAACCTCAGTGCCACATGCTTTACAACAGTGTCTACTGTAGCTAGGACCGATGCTCCCTTTGAAATAAGTGCCACAGTTTGGCCTCTTTGAAACATGGGGCTTATTCACAGTACCACTACAGAAAACAGCTAAGTACCTTCTGCAGGGCTTACAAACACACTAAGAATCTTGTTGCCGTTGCTAACTTGTTGGTTTTATTTGTTTGCTTGCTTGCTGAGACAGTCTCACTATATAGCCCAGGCTGACCCCAAACTTACCACATAGCCCAAGCTGACATTGAACTCAGTAACCTCGTGACTCGGGCATACAAATCTTGGGATTGGGGGCCGTGCCCCATCGTGCCCAGCTTCCCCCAGAAGAGAATATTAAGGAGAAGCTCTAAGGACGTTCTCAGGAAGTGTTTTGCTGTAGACAAGAGTGTTTGTAAGTGAAGCAGATGGTTTTCAGTTCTTCTTCTGCTTTGCAAATGCCCTTAGTGTTTGACTATTTGATTCCAATTTCTGTTTCAATGCCAATCTTGTGCATATATATCTACACAAAATAAAATGAAACACAGAGCCCCTGATATAAGCCCTATAAACACATCCAACTCCGAAGAAAGCAAAGCAAACATGGGAAACACATACAATTACATGCACACCCCATGAACATAGGAAAGTCATTCCTAGGTGACTATCAGGAAATACTGTTTGCCATCTCACCTACTGTGTGTCGTGGAAATTCTGTCTGTGGTAGGCAGCGGGCACAGTGCAACCTGCAGGCCCGATACTAGCGACAGTGACATTACTAGCACTAGCTTTGGACAAGGGGCAGAGGTCTCTTCCTACGTACAATGTGTTATCTACAGTGAGTATCAGTGAAAGAGAGCAGCAGTGTGGGCAATCTCCAGCTCATCTCATTAGCTTTAATATGTGTGATATTCGGGGTAGTAGATCTGTCTTGAATTATGCTGTGCTTGGAAAGTATGGAAATGGATTTGAATTTCTGAGCACATCCCTCCGAGCAATAATAGCAGGAGGCTGTCACAGCATTTATGAGGAGACAGCAACCGTGCTACAATTCAAAATTTGCTATGGCTCACATAGCCCTTAAGGAAAGGGGCAGCGAAGAGCTAAATTAAGCTTGGGCAGTTTTAAAATCAAGAGTACATGATGTCTTCCTTCTTATTTATGGGTTTTGCAAATTTTCAAATGACTCCTTATTCTATGTGACTGCATAATGGGCATCAGTGGTGAGAAGTGTGCTGTGACAACACCAATCAATGGGTTCTCTGGTTATGACCCCAAGCATATAGACAGGCCTTTCATCTATATTCAAAACTGCCCTCTAGGCTTTTTCTGTCCTGTGTGCACATTTAATCCTTTGGGTATTAAATGTGTGTTTATTCTGTAAATGACACAGGAGCTTTGAGGCATCTGAACTAGTGTGAACAATAGTAAAATGTGTTCTTTAAAGGTTACATAAAACTCAGCTGCGTAGCCGGCCATTGCTGTTTTCAAAGCTGGCTCTTTTACAGCGTTCCCACCTGTCTTTTCTTTTTGGTATTTCGAGACACGGTTTCTCTGTGTAGCTTTGGAGCTTGTCCTGGAACTTGTTCTGTAGACCAGGCTGGCCTTGAACTCACAGAGATCCGCCTGCCTCTGCCTCCCAAGTGCTGGAATTAAAGGCATGTGCCACCACCACCTCTTGTCCTATGGTTCCTATCCAATTCAAATTTTTCATTTCTTCTTGGGTCCCACTTACATCTGACAAAGGGAAGTCTACTTCATCTGGGTTCTCAGATTCCGTGTCAAAGAGTTGAACAAATTTCCTCCTTTGTCTTCTCTGGATTATCCCTGTACCTCAAATATGTCCCTTTTTCTCATTTACACTTGTTTACTCTTTGTTACATTTCCAATCACACACACCGATTATTATACCAGCTTTATCGTGCTTATCAGAGAGCTAACTAGATAACATATTTACTTTATTGGGTTTGTTTCCTTCATTCCAGCCTTCTTCTTGATTGTTTCCTCTGATTTACCTTAGTGGGTTTGTCATTCTTCTTCCTCATTTCATAGTTAACAAACGTGCTCTATCTTCATTTAAATGAAAAGGTGTGTCAAGGCAGTGACTTTCCACTGCCTATGGCTTTTACTCTAGAAGTTTCTGTGGACTTTAGACAGCTTCACACTTGACCTTCTTACTGCTGTTGTCTGTAGTCAGGGTCTCACTATGTAGCCCTTGGCTGGCCTGGAACTCACTATGTAGACCAGGCTAACACCCAGCTCACAGAGTCCACCCAGCACTCTCTCCCCAGTGCTGGAATTAAAGGTGTGCACCATCACGCCTGGCTTATTTGACTTTTGATTTATCCTTTGATACAAAGGTTATTTCAATCATTTCATTTCTAAGTTTATAAATTATTTGTGAAAACATTGTATCACATTTTTATTGATTTCTGTTAATGAATTATGATCAGAGAACTCAGACGATATCTTTCCCCCTGAATTTATTGTTCTTTGTAGCCCAGTATGTGCTCAACTTCTCTAACACTTCCAGAAACTAATGTTCTGTATTCGAGAGACATTGGATCCAGCATAGCTTTAAACACAACTTTCTATCTATTGCTTACTATCTTCAAGGTGGATAACATGTGATTGTGGAGGAGACAAGTGAACAGGGTTTATTAAAGTGCCTGGCAGAATTATATTTGTATCTCAAACAGTTTTGCTTTACAGATTTCATGGTACATTATGCAAAAGTTTTACTTGCCTTCACAAACTCCTCTTTAGCCTTAAGAGTATCATTCCTTAACCAGCTGATGACTTACCTCAAGTGCCACCTTGTCCAACCCTGACATTGCTCATTCCGCTGACTGTGGTTATCCAGGATCACTATCTAGCCTGACGCTTTCAACTTTGATCACGTTATTTCAAGAGTTCCCTAAAAACAGTACACAGTGTGTGTGTGTGTGTGTGTGTGTGTGTGTGTGTGTGTGTGTGTGTGCGCGCGCCTTTGTGAGTGTGTGAATGTGTGTGTATGTGAGTGTGTCTAAGTGTATATGAGTGTGAATGAGTGTGCGTTGTGTGGTTTAGTGTGTGTACCTGTGTGTGAATGTGTGTATGCATATGAGTCTGTGTGAGTGTGTGTGTGTGTGTGTGTGTGTGTGTGTGTGTGTGTGTGTGTTGCATCCAAGGCCTGTACATGCTGAACAATTGCTCTACTACTAAGCCACTGCCCTGTCCCCACTATTTAAAACATTTTATTTTGACACAGGATTTCACTAAGTTACTCAAACTGGCTTTTAACTCACCCTGTAGCCAACAAGTATTACATTCACAGTCCTTCTGCCCCAGCTCAAGTAGCTGTTATTACAAGCCAGCACCACCAGGCCCATCTTGGGATTTGCCTTTTAACTCAGGCAAACAGTCACATAATAAAAATAAATAAAATAAAATCGTTACTTGTGTAGCCAGGCGGTGGTGGTGCATGCCTTTAATCCCAGCACTTGGCAGGCAGAGGCAGGCAGATCTCTATGTGTTTGAGACCAGTCTTGCCTACAGAGTGAGTTCCAAGACAGGCACCAAAGCTACACAGAGAAACCTTGTCTCAAAAAAAAAAAATTATTACTTGTATTCACTTATTTGTACATATACATATATACAATAATAATTTTTAAAAGACAAAATCATGAGTTTGGGAGGCAGGAGGACATGGAAGAAGTTGAAAGGAGAGGGAGGGACTGGAGTGATACAGTTAGAATATTCATGTATAAAGTTTCAAAAAATAAATTAAAAAAATGAGCCTAGATACGGCCCCTGGTGTAATGGCCAGCACTCTGGACTCGGAATCCACCAATCTGAGTTCAAATACCAGTGGGACCTGGAATTTCCTCTCCATTATCTTCCCTCACTGTGAGGGCTATGGTTCTAATGAGCAGGCCATTTCTTTGTGCTCTCCTCTCGAGCATTTTTGTCATAAAACAGGTAATGAGATCCTTAAATTCTTACATAACAAACTTTAATCCCAGGAGGGGAATGGTTGGCTGCCTGTGTGCGGTCCATTCAGCTGCTGCTGTTTCTCTCCAGCTCTACCGTTATTCCTCCAGCTCATCTCTGGTGCCAACGGTGAGACACCTGCAGCTAGCCAACACTTCCTCACAGAAGGTCATCTGCTCTCTGACAGGAAGCTACAAAGAGTCTTCTCTTTGGGCACTCAAGAGCTCCAAAATATGCAGAGGTGCCTTGAGTCACCTCTGAGAATGTGTGTCTTGTTGTCTATCATCTGACCACTTCCAGCGTCTCTCCTGTTATACACCATTCTAGCTCCTAGGTTGACATTCTCTCATGAATCCCAGCCCTTTATGTTTCAGTTCTGTGCTTCAAATCCCTCCACTTGACCAACTAGCCATCAATTCTCTCCAGAACAATCATCATGTCCTGCAACTCACTGGCTGAACTGTCTGAGGGGAAAGTCACGTGCAGGTCTTCCTGTGCTGCATTTAAATCTCCTTCTGTGTGCTTCCTGTTCTCCTCTGTCTCCAGCTGCCACTCTGGGGTACAATGCACAATTCCAGCTGCTCTTGTAGGCTGCCTCGCCTTTGGCTGCAGTGACACCATCTCACTTGTTACATGACTGGGCTGCTGATCTGCTGTCAGCCACAGGGGTGAGTGGTGGGAAACGGTCTCCATCCACGGGACCACGGGGACACGGGTGCAAGCTGTGGGGTATAGTCACGTGATAGGACAGAGCCTTCCTTCTCCAAAGCCTTGGAGACAGTGAGAA